GGGGGGGGGAGGGGAGGTGAGCCCAGTTTCGGGGGACGGCAACGCCCTTAACCCCCGTGCGGGCCCAGCCCTGGCCGCCCCTGTGAAACGAGAGCCCTGGGGTTCTCTCTCACCCCACTGGCCCGAGGGCGCCACCTCTAGGCCAAGGCCCGCTCCTCGGCCTCCTGTGACCGCGTGCTGAGCCAGGGCTTGGGTCAGGCGGAGGGGGCCTAGCAGCTAGCCTTGGGAAAGGGCATCTTGGATTACGCGGCGGGAGCGATGCCCTCTGCCCCCCAGTGCCGGGACACCAGCTCTCGGCTATCTCGGTGGAGATGGGCCTGGCCATCACGCTCTGTTGGCTGGGCGCCTGCTGGGAGTACCACACCCTTCGGGGACTCCCGCACCACAGTCAGCAAGGTCATAACGGGGTGTCGGCGAGGCGGTGGTGTGGTTGTTGGGTCCCTGCCACGTGCTGCCCTCAAAGGGCTGGGTCTGCAGGTCCTGGCGGCTGCGTTCTGTAGCTGTACACAGCTGCTACAACTGGAAGGGTCCCATTCTGGCCCCGGGGATGCTCTTAGCTGACTAAAGGGTCTGGCACTTATTGGTCGGGGAGGTCCTTTGAAGAATCTGGATTCAGGCTGCCTTGGGGGGTGCCATCCACCACCACTGGGTGCGTCACCACCAAGGACTTCAGGGTTGGCTCCGCGGGTCGCCCAGGCTGGAGGCATGTTGTTCCCAGGAGCATAGAGGGTGATCGTATGTGAAGTTCAGAGTACGCATTGCTCCCGTGGTTGATGAAAACCTTTTGCAGGTGAGATGGGAGCATCCCAGGTGCGGGGAGAGTTTAATCCAGGCTGTTGGCTAGGCCTGGGCACAGTGGGTAGGGCAGGGCGTTTGAAACAGGGCAGAGCAGGGCTGTGACTTTCCCACCCACACTCATCGCTCTTGCTGCCTACTTCGCCTGTAACTGTAGTATGAAGGCTGGGAAGAAGGCTGCTGGGATGGGTGGCTCCACTGGATTGGAGGAGAGAGGGAACTGGAGCAGCGGGGGGCCCCAGAAGAAGAGGAAGAAGGGAGGCGGGGCCGATTTGACACCAGCTGTGTCAGACTTCGAAGGATGAACCCCTGAGGGCATTGGGCCACACAGTGATATTTTCATCCCTCCTCACCAGCTGTTCCTGGTTCCCCAAGACTCAACCATGGAAGGTACAGAAAGGTGTGTGACAAGAAACTCATGGCTTTTAATCCTGGCAGGAAGGACAAGGAAAACCAAGGATAAAGATTTGATCAAGTTTTACTGTTCTCCCACTGGAGATGGGGGAGGGGGAATCAGTCATATTTAATGAACATCTCTCTCCTCATCCCTCCCGATTGCATTATCTCTGCTTTTGTTCATGAAGACAGGGAAGGAAGATAACTTTGTCTCTGAGAAATGAGGGCACCTCCTGGTGCCCTGGCTGTTGGAACAAATGCTCAGAGGGGCTGGTAAGTGGGTGGGCGTCTCCGGACGACGCAGAAGGTAACAAGCACCAGGGTGAGGAGGCCGAGTAAGATCAGGCCAATGATGAGAGGCAGCAAGATGGATTGGTCACTGGGGCAAGAGAAACCTGGCGGAAAGATAGGGCAAGTAGGCATCACAACGGTGGTGGTTGGAATAAAGGTGGAAAGAGGGAGGAGGGAATGTGGGATGTTGGGAAGTAAGAGATTGGTGAGAGGCTGGCTCACCTAGAGGACTCAGAGCAAAAAAAGGGGGAGCCTGGGCAGAGTCTTATAGAGGAGGGGAGGACAGTTACTCTAGCTCTGACAAGCTTGAGAGGGGGAGGAAATTTGGGGGTGCAGGAAGGGAGATTATAGGCCTGGGGGGAGGGCTTTCAGTGCAGTGGGAAAATTCTAGGAGGGAAGGAATAGGTCTTACTTGGTCCAAAGGCCCCTGTCGGGGGCAGCTGAGCAGCTTGTAGCTTCAGGGAGAGCAGGTCAAGGTGGAAAGCTGGTGAAAGAACGATGCTTGCGTTTGTGCAACTGAAGCTCCGGCCCAGAGGGGTTTGGAGATCTCGAAGGGATGAATTCTGAACAGAGAATATCCACTCTGAAAGAACGAGGAAGGGTCAGCTCCATAGCCACATCCCCACCATACCCCCAGCCTAGGTCCCTTCAGGAGCCCAGACATCTAGTGCAAGTAATGAGAAAGGGAAGGTTACTCACGTGCTGCCTGGGGGAAGGACACGTTGTACTCCACAGTCACATGGTTCAGGTAGACGGTGCTCTGCAGTGGCTCCTGGGGAGGTGACCAGGAAGACTCAGGGCAGCAGGGGAGAGTGGCATCCAGGTACACAGAGTAAGGAGTGCGGCAAGAAGTTGGTAGGGGTAGGGCACTTGGAGAGTGAGAGTGAGGGATGAGGGTTAAGTACCTGCTTGAATCCAAAGCTGAGCTGTCCATAGGGGAATGAGAGGAGCAAGTGGGGATGAGCACCCTCACAGCCCCCTTGGGCCTTGGTTTTGTTGGGGTTCAGAACAGAGATTCCCCAGGCCTGCAGAAGTTAAAAGACGAGAGAGGGTCACAAGACTACACAGTTGTGCCATCCAAGGTTCCCTGTTCCCTTTGTCTTCACCCTGTATTCGTCTGCTTCTTTACTCTTCCTCCTTCCCTTCTGAACCGTAGCAGAAGGCCTCATCCCCTTCCCCTTATGTCCTCTATCGTTTTTTAGCTTTACCTCTCCTCCATCCTGGGTTGGGTACAGAACACGAATCTGAATCTGGGCTTGGAGCCGGATGCAGGGCTGGGAACCGTTAGTCCAAATGTAGTCTCCTATTGCCTCCTTGGAGCCTGGGCTAGGACTTGGAGAGGGTGGAGGTGGTCCTGGGCGGGGGGATCTGGTGGAGGGTCCTGGGCTGGTGGCAGTGCTGTTGCTTGTTGGATGAACTGTGGCATTTCCGTGACTGGTGGTGGTAGCAGGATGGTGAGTGGCTGTTGAAGACTCGTGGCTGGTGGTGCCTGTGGTGGTAGTTTTATGAGTGGTGGTAGCCGTGTAAGTGGTCGTTCTGTGGCTCTTGGTCGTTCTCTGGCTGGTTGTTCCAGGGCTTGTTGTGCTTTCTGTAGCTGTAGGTGTCACCGTGAAGGATGGCAGCAGAGTGGCCGATTTTTTATGAGGACAGTCATTCCCTGTCCCCTGGGCTTTCAGAGGAAACACTGGTTAGCAGCCCAGGGGCAGGCTCCTTCCCAGGGGCCCCCTCCCCTTCACCCCCCTTCTCCTTACCTGCTAGTAGACCCAGCAAGGCCCCAGAGAAGAGCACAGCCAACCTCATGCCAGAACAGCCTCCACCCAGAGTCCAGCTTGGTTCTGTGTCGGTACCAGCTGCCTGCCTGCTCAATCAATCCTATACCCTCTGCCTTCGTTCATTTGGAAAAAGAGGAAATAAATCTTTGACTTCCTGTAACTGAGGTAACCCAACCCCCAGCCTGACTCATGCACCTCAGCCCCAGCCACCAATCTCTTAGTCATTAAAATTTTGTCATTGAGTTAGATGATTGGCCCTGGTGTCACCGAAGTAGGGGCCATCAGCAACATGTGTCATGTGGATAGTGAGATGGGAGTTTTGGGTAAGTGGATCCTTGGGGATTCATTTGTCTGCCTCAGCAAAACATGCTTAGTGGTTGTGACAAGTGATTATGGAGCCAGCAGCCCCTCCCTGTCAGAGTTCAATAGGATGTAAAACGTGAACATTTATTTCCACTCCCTTTCTTGTCTGTTGCTTCCTTTTTTTTTTTTTTAATTTATTTTTTGCTGTGTTGGGTCTTCGTTTCTGTGCGAGGGCTCTCTAGTTGTGGCAAGCAGGGGCCACTCTTCATTGGGGTGCGCGGGCCTCACTATCGCGGCCTCTCGTTGCGGAGCATGGGCTCCAGATGCGCAGGCTCTGTAATAGTGGCTGACGGGGCCTAGTTGCTCCGCGGCATGTGGGATCTTCCCAGACCAGGGCTCGAACCCGTATCCCCTGCATTGGCAGGCAGATTCTCTACCACTGCGCCACCAGGGAAGCCCTGTTGCTTCCTCTTTGCTGAGACACGTGAGGTACTTATGGTCTCTGCCCAGCCCCTTCCAGAAAGGTCATATTATCCAGTTAACATGACCATTTTCCAGTCAACAACAACAAAAGCTCAAGAGAAGGGAGTAGAGCTGTACCCAGTAGCAGATGGGAGGGAAGGGAAGGTAAGAAATGACAAGCCAAGGCAGGCAGTTTCCAAGTCATTTTATTCAGAATTTTGTCTCTGTTTCCTGAATCAATAAATACTATACAAAACAATGTAAAAATGGCTACCATTTTCTCTCCCCTACTCCCCCCACCTGGGGACAACCCCCTGGGCCACCTAACTTGGGGGGTTCTCCCTCCAGATTTGGTCCAGCAAATGAGGTGGACTGAATCATTTTCAGAGGAATTCAGGTGCGGTGGGGAGAGCCTCTGGGGTTTGGAGGTTGACTAGGTTAGGGAAGTGGATTAGTGTTTTTGGGAGAAGAGACGGCGCCTACCCCAAAGAAAAGGGTGTCTAAAATGTTCACGGTTCCTTCTTTTGCCTCAAAAAGTGACATTTATTCAAAGAAAAAAAAAAAAGAAAAAAATGACAAGATGTCCATCCCTTGACTCCCTTCCCTCCCCCCTCCTGCTGCTCCTCAGCACCTCCCAAGGACTGAGCCCTGGCTGGGGCTAGGTAGCAGAACAGCCCCTCTCAGATGAGGTCAGCAACGTTGAGAGGCATCTCCTCAATGGAGGTGTTGTAGAAGGTCTCAATGTCTCGAAGAGTCCTCTTGTCTTCTTCTGTCACCATGTTAATAGCCACACCCTTACGGCCAAAACGGCCACCTCGACCGATTCTGGAAAACAAGGACAGCTTAGAATAAGTGAGGATAAAAGAAAATAAGACGCTTCTGTGCAGGGAGGAATGGGCAGGAGGGGGCTGGGCTGGTTAACAGTCCAGATCTGCATTTACCTGTGGATGTAGTTTTCCCTGTTGGTGGGGAGGTCATAGTTGATGACTAAGGAAACCTGCTGCACGTCGATGCCTCTGGCCTATATCCAGAAAAAAGGCAGCTTCAGTGTGTGAATGAGAGGACACCCTAAGTCTAACCAGAAGAGACACTTAAGCATACATGTAGGCAGCCAAAGGTAGGCAAGGAAACAAACATCCCCTCTCCCCAGAAACCTGAGGCTTGCCAGATTTTATTCCAAGTTGCTACTTTCCTGAAGAGGGGCACTAGCAGGCCCCTTGGAAGAGGGAATCACCTTGGATTCTCCCATCTTTCTTCCCCTCTTGTCCAGATGCCCTTCTACTTACCAGTAGGTCAGTGGTAATCAATACTCTGCTAGAGCCAGAGCGGAACTCCCTCATGATAACGTCTCGTTCTTTTTGGTCCATATCTCCGTGCTAGAACAGGAAATAGAACGGTATAACGGTGTAACGGTGTAACAAGTAGGTGCGTTGGTTCTGAGAGAACTGACTGTGAGTAGGACCCTGACATGTGACTCTGCTGGTAAAACAAGGTGGAGAAACCTCACCATGGCAGAGACGGTGAAGTCTCGGGCATGCATTTTCTCAGTGAGCCAATCCACCTTCCTTCGGGTGTTGATGAAGATGACTGCCTGGGTGATGGTCAGAGTTTCATACAAGTCACACAGTGTGTCCAGCTTCCACTCCTGGTGGGGTGGGGGGAGGAGATCAGTCAGGGGCTATACCCAACAACTTACCACCAGGCCCGCCTCCTGCACTGGGCCCCACCTCTCGTTCCACATTGATGTAGAATTGGCGGATACCCTCCAGCGTCAACTCTTCTTTCTTGACAAGAATCCTAATTGGGTCCCTCATGAACTTCTTGGTCACCTCAAGCACGTCGGAAGGCATTGTAGCCGACAGCAAAACCACCTAATGAAAAAAAAAAGCAGTTTCAGGGTAGGCCATGGTTCCCCTGGCACTTCTGGTTTTTTTTACATATCTGGATATCATCCAAGATTTTTTTTTTTTTTTTTAACTTTTTGGCCACAACACGTGGCATGTAGGATCTTAGCTCCCTGAGCAGGGGTCGAATCCATACCCCTTGCATTGGAAGTGCTGGGTCTTAACCACTGGACTGCCAGGGAAGTCCCTCCTTTGGCACTTGATAATGCTCCATCATCACCCCAAGCACACCACAACCTATAACAAAGCAACTGTCAGCCATGCAAGCAAGACCCCAATGTCCTCCTCACCTGGGTGTTGCTATTGAGCTTTTGGAATATGTCATAGATCTGGTCCTTGAACCCACGGCTTAACATTTCATCAGCTTCATCCAGTACAAACATCTTGATGTACTTGGGAGCTTCAGAAAGAAAAACACCAACAGGTAGTTACTAGAGAAGTGTGAACTACACCTAACTTTCCCAATAAAAAAAACAGGGACAGGTGGTCTGCTCTCAGAAGACAAAGACTGATCCTCTGCCTGGGACCCCCTTGCCAGGCCAGACAATAGCCCTGGGAAGTAGAACACTACATGGGCCGAGATGACAGGGAAGCCAGGCTCAGATGACACGCATGGGGTTCATCACAGAGCAACTCTCAGAGGATATCACTGGGAATCAAACTGTGGCCACGTTAAGAAACTGGAAAGGCATGTATAAGGAAGTGACCCAGAGGGCTAGAAAATTGTACACTCACACAAGTATCTCCGGTTAAGCATGTCGAACACACGGCCTGGGGTACCCACGATGATATGGGGAGCTTCCATCTGCAGCTTCTGCACCTCAGCACGCACATTGGTACCCCCAATGCAGGCATGGCACGAGGCACCCATGTAATCTCCTAAGGCCATAACTACCTTCTGTATCTGAACCAGAAAAAACATAAGTGCTTGTGTATTAGCTACAACTGCCAGGCACCATTTTAAGTGCTATGTATTTTATTCTTTCCAGCTCTGAGACAAACACTATTAAGCTCTCTTCTTTTTTTTTTTGTGCGGTACGCGGGCCTCTCACTGTTGTGGCCTCTCCCGTTGCGGAGCGCAGGCTCCGGACGCGCAGGCTCAGCAGCCATGGTTCACGGGGCCCAGCCGCTCCGCGGCATGTGGGATCTTCCCGGACCGGGGCACAAACCCGTGTCCCCCTGCATCAGCAGGTGGACTCTCAACCACTGCGCCACCAGGGAAGCCCGGCATGTTCACTCTTAAAGCATGTTCTAAACGTTAAGGGCCCTCGAGTGGAGCTCTACTGTAACTTCTTGCTTACACTGCCTTTGTTCAGAAGTTCAGCACAGAATGACCACGATACCTCCGTAGGACACTGTAAGAATACATTCCCCTAAACTCAGTAATCAACTTATGAGACAAGTGTTTCTGATCTTTTCCCCCCTCCAAAACCCAGGAAAATAGCCCAACATTTTATGTGCCCCAGCCATGAAACAGCTCTGGCCACCAACCCAGGCATCAAGCTACGATGAAGAAAGGACTAGACATCTACTTTGCCCCTGACTGATACAAGAGCACCACCACCAATCAGGTGTCTCTTTGCCCATTGCCAGGGGGTTTTCTTCATAAAACAGCCAAACTTGCCCAGCCAGCCAGGCTCCACCCAGCAGCCTTCCCCATCTGACTCAGGAAATAGGTGGAGTAAGGGATGCTTACAGTGTTTGGTGAGGAAAAAGCTTACAATTAACCTACTAAGTCTTGAGACATAAAAGTCATCAACTGACTTTATATCATCTCTTTTCCCCAAACTTCAGTTCTTCCAAAAGTGGTAGGAGTTGGAACACATAACTTCTGATTTCTGGTTTATGTTAATCACTTCTAAATAAGTCCTTCAGGGGAAGAAAGGTAAACTCACCTGCTGAGCCAACTCTCTAGTGGGTGCCAGGACCAAGGCCTGGGTGGCCTTTAGATCCAATTCAATCTGCTGCAAAATTGATATGGCAAAAGTGGCCGTTTTTCCAGTCCCAGATTGGGCTTGAGCGATCACATCATAACCTAAACACAAATTAGGAGAGAAATTTTATATGGTAGAAAGCATTCTTTGGACTCGTGGGACATTCAACAGCCCTGCTGAATGAGATCAGTAAGCCACCAATAGATATGTGCCCAGCAATAAGTGCTTCAGACTCTACATGACAACATAGCACCCAAACAAGAACAGATCTGGAAAATCAGGCCAGGTTTCAGTCATTTAGTACTGCACAAAATTGGGCTAGAAATACAGCTGTAAAAAGCCAGCATGATCTGGCTAAAGCACTACCTTGTTGAAATTAAACCAGCAATCCATGTTTCCAGGGCATGAACCAGACATGGGCACAAACCAAAAGCCAAGCTGGGATAAACAAGGAGTTACTCTGTCCCTGGCTGATATGAGACAGGCACCACCAACCCGGCGCCACTCTACCCAGGCCAGGGACAGTCCAGAACTTGTTCTGGGGCAGAAGGGTCTTACCCTTGATACAAGGAAGAATGGCTCGCTGCTGGATGGCAGAGGGCTTCTCAAAACCATAGGCGTAGATGCCACGTAGGAGTGACTCCGAAAGGTTCATGTCATCAAAGCTGTCAACAATCTCATTCCAGTTACTCTGTAGAAAACAAAGAAATTCAAGTAGGAGAAATAGGGCTGTGCTCTTACATTGGAGTAAACAGGACCTTGTGCCTGCACCACAGCTTCAGAGCCCACAACCCCTTTTCTCCCCATGGAAGCCAGATGGTTGATGGTTCTACATGACCTGGGAAACCGCCCTAAGGGGCCAGTCCACTTGTAAACAGTGAACGTAGATGTCATAGAAAGGAGAACAGAATCTGAGTGACATGTTTTAAACACACTTTTAAAACTTTAAACAAATTTCTGCAAGGGAGTTAAGGTGTCATGTCTAACTACCTGGGAGTTTTATGTTACGCAATACAGTTGAATCCTGGGTTTCAATCACTGGTGTATTCACTAAACCACCACTTCAAAAGCCAAAGAACAATGCTAGTGGCACTGCCTTTGCCAGAGTTAAAGGATAATGGTGGGAGGGGTCCAACCTCACCTCGATGACGCCTTCGGGCTCCATCCCATCGGGGCCATTGTCTCTAGATCTGTCGGTTTAAAAATACAGTATGTAGAAATTCTAACAGCCAGCCTCTTCCTAGCAGCAAACCGACTTTGCATGATGCCATCAGCCTTCACTCCCTAGTCCAAGCCCCGTGTTCCCCAAAAAAACAGAATAGTTATTTTACAACTGAGTCAGGCCCCATCTCGGAAGCGGCTCAAGTCAAGCCGACCCCGACATGATAGAGTAACCTTCCTAGAAGACCCAGAGGCTGGAAGGAACCAATCTGCGCTTAAGGGGCGCGGAGGTGGTGCTTGCCTCCGGGCCCACGTGTCCTGAGCCTGACGCTCCAAGCCCAAACGCGTGCACCTCCCACCGTGGCCCCTGCCCGCCGGAAGTCCCGCCCTCCCATCCCCAGATGCCAGGGTAGGACATCCCCTTCCCCCCACGTCATGCAGCCCGCGCCCTCCCCCACTCCCTCGAGCCCATCTCCCCCCCTCGCAGTGCCCGGATGTGGGAGGCCGCGGGCGGTGGCGGCCTCGCGCACAATGAGCCCCAGCCGAGCTAGCAAAGGGGGAGATTGCACAACACTTAGAAACGAAGCGGACTGGGGGAGGGGAACACCTCGGGACGCCATGTGCTTGCTCCCTCGACCACTCGGCGGCGTCCCCCCCCCCCCCCGGAACAAACCACATCCCGCCCGCCCCGTCGCGAAATGGCGTAGCCCTCCCATACCTCAGGCCGCTCACCCCCGAAGGAAAGTGGACCTGACCATCCGCAGTTTGCCAATTGCCCGGCTTGTGCGGCAAAATGGACCCGCCCGCCCGGCGCCGGGTGGGCTCCTGGTGCCTCACGCGGCCGCTCCTCGGGGTTAGGGTCGGTCCTGGCCGTCAAGAAAACCAGCACACAGAACGGCCGGCTTCTTCTCCCCCGACCCACAGCTCCACGCGACTCAGCGACTGGGTTTGAGGACGCAGGCACCCACGCCTTCATCGAGTGGTACCGTCAAAATCCTCCAGAATCCCGATCACGCGAGCCCTCCGGCAGTGAGACAACCTGGCCGGCGGCTCCGGGCCACGCACGGTCGCCTCTACCTCTCTTTCCCACGCCAGGATGCCACCTCGCCGCCCGACTCAACACCGGGGCTTCGCGCACCTCGTCGGTCGAGGCCTCGTAGCGTTACCTCGCGCGCCGAGCCCCGAAACCTGGGCCGTCCTCGGCCTCTACCTAGGCCCTGGCGGCAACGTCGGCCGTGGACCCGCCCCTCACCGCCCCCCCAACACGGGTGCTCCCGGCTTGCTCGCCCCGCATCCCTGGGGGGGGGGCCTAGGGCGGTGAACCTCAGCTTCCCCCGGCGGGGTCCTCAGAAGGGACAGCAGGGTAAGTGGCCACAATTTCTTGCAAATGTCTTTCTTACCGAGAATCCTGACTCGCAGACATGATCCTTAGAAACTAGGGCGGAGTGCCCGCCTATCGACAACTTATAGAGAGCCCAACCCCGCCCCAGCCATCGCATTGGCTTGGTCTCCTCGGCTCCGCCTGCCGCCGCTCAGCAACCCGGCGTGACGTTCATTCGTCGGCGCTCTGGCACGCAGCCGCCATTGGATAGCTTGAGTGCCTATCAAGGTGGAGGCCCGCCCCGCGGCTTCATTGGCTAAAGGAACCGCCTTTCTTGCCGGTACGGAAGTGACATACAAGACTCAGGCCTCGAGGCCTGGCAGCCATCTTGGTGCCCTGCACCCCTACACGTGCGGAGGCGAGTGCCCTGGTCATGTGGCCTAGCCGACCCTATCACGCAAGGGGGGCGAGGTTTCAGCCTCCAGGGACTTCCGGGCTCCCGGGAGCAGCACTTCCTTCTACCTCTGCTTCAGGTCTCCACTGGACCCACATTTAATTTTGTTCCTTCCTGCAGCAAAGATAAATCGGACACCAACTCCGAATGTACAGGGATAATGGAATCAAGGGCCATACCCCCGGGCTGGAGGAATAAAGGATGAAGGAACTGACGTAACGGGCTTAAGAGCATTTGGGGTTGCTGTCATGCATCTTGGTGGGCTCCCTTAAGTATGCTGTTTTCCCAACTTGAGCACCTCTCAAGCTCCCGTATTTTTGAGGCTTATCTACTCTCCCTTCTTCCAGCCCTGGCTCCCCCTGCTGGGGGATTCTTTTGGTTGAAGATATGGTCTTGGCACTGTCTGAGCCAGGGATGGAAAGCTGGCCCCCTGGGTAAGTCTCAAGACCCATGAAAGGGTAGCTAACAGCACTGACTGGAGGAAAGCCGGAGAGCATATCCACTAGTTTGAGGCCCCTTAAGGAAGACCACCACTATGTATCTCCAAAGGATCCTTTATTGACCAGAGAAGGACCATGGTATTTATATATATATATATATAAAAAAAAGTTTGAAGATCTGGCAGGCAGTAATCCCATTGCCCGCCCACCACCCCAGCACAGATTTTGCTGTCCCCCCCTCCTGCACATGGAAGGGAGATGACTGCCCCACCCAGGCCACAAGGCCATACTCCCCTGTAGACAGAAGGAAAAAGGGGATTTTCCATGGCCAACCCCTGAACATCAGAAATCAACAAATATTCTCTCAAAGAAAAAAAAATACAGAAATCAATTAAAACATTTAAATATGAAAATCCAAAGGGAACTGGGTGGGAAGAGGCTAGAGACAAAGGGAACTGGAGTTTCTTGGGAAGGAAGGGTCTCCCATGTCCCCCTGCCCATTAATGAATGGGCTTGGGGCCTGGAATACGAGGCTCACACAGTGAGTTTGCAGTGACACAGCTCCTTGTAGATCTGCCGACGAAGTTTGGGCATGTCCTGCTGAGTGAAGCTGAATGGCTGAGACAGGGCCAGGTGCTTGCAATACTGGGTGTTAACAAAGCAGACCATGAGAACCATCTACTGAGCATCCCCCCCAAAATATGTATCATACATATTTTGTATGATACACATCTCACTGGATCTTTCCAAGAACTTTCCCATTTCACAAAGGAAGCCAAGGTCCCATAGACTGGGGCTCAAAAGAAGTCTGACTCTAAAGCCAGTGTTCCTATTTGGTACATAAAACACCTAGTGTTAACAGAGAAAATACTTTGCATTAGGGGATCAGGAGGCAGCTATATCAGGGCCAGAGACCAAGGACCACACACCCAGTCCCAATGCGGTATGGAGAAACCAAGAGAGGAAAATGAAATCAGGGTTTCTGCATTCTAACACAGAAGCTTACTCCCACTCCCTAAGTGGCTGTGAGCCAAATGAGAGACAGCTTCCCGCCTCCCTCCCAACTCTTTAACCCAACTGGTATCAGTTGCTTACCTGCAACACAAAGGCGCCGCAGTCACTGTCATTATTCTGCCTGGCCACATTCTAGAGAATAAAAAGAAGGTAAGCCCTTCTCCTGGAGGAAATCCTACACGTATGGCTTCAACTTCTGCCTCCTACCATGCCCCCAAATCCGCCCCCATAACCCTCCTCTAGAAACTGACCATCTTGAAGTAACCTTTCCAGCCCTGGTGGAAATCCAGCCGGTCTTTCTTCACTGCCTCTGCCTGTAGATACTTGGCAATATGCTATGTAGATGGAGAAAAGGAGGAAGTGATGCCCCTACATTTCCCAACTGAACCCAAGTTGTGGTGGTCACAGGCAGCAAGCCCAGGTTGCTCCTCAGAGCCTCCAAACCCACCCTTCTGCCTGAAATGCCTTGCCACTGGATCTCCTCCCCATATTCTGCCCATCTTTCCCGTTCCCTCTCAAACCTTAGGGCAGCGGCGGTTCAGGGTGCGCTGCGAATCAAAATAGGTGATGGTGCGCCGCCTCACGTCAACAGAGATGAGGGACCAATGCACCTCCAGGTGGATGGGGATTAGCAGTAGCTCTTTATTGAAGATGTCCACCTAAGGAAGCAGTGCTGGAGGTCAGGAAAGACAGCACAGGAATCTGCCTATTGCCAGGAGGGTTCTAAAGGAGAAGCAGGCAAGGAGACAAGTGGGAGAACTCAATACCCAGCCCCTAGACTGCGAGGCAAGGCTCAGCATCTGGATGTCTGGATTCTTGGGCTTAAGGAGGAAGGCAGGACGGAGGAGGTGGTGCACAACAAACACTCGAGAGCCCAGGACAGGGCCAGGTACTTTACACACATTAAAGGCACAAGTGCTTAGTAGCTAAGAACCCAGGCTCAGGATCCTGGAGCCACTCTCAGGGTTCAAACCCAGCTCTTCCATTTACTAGCGTATGACCACAGGCAAGCTACTTAATAACTCTCTGTACCTCAGTTCCCTTTTCTGTAAGAGGGTGAAAATAACAGTACCTACCCTCACCTGTTTGTTACACAGATTAAACTAATTAATATCCATGCTACACTAAGAACAATGCATGGCACCTAACAGATGCTCAATCAGTTAACGCTCACAACAATCCTCTGAGAAAGTTCGCATCAGGAAACTGTGGCTTGGAAAAGTAAAATCACTTGCTCAAGGTCACAGAAGTAAGACATGGCAGAGGTGGGATTTAAACACTGGCGTATAGAAAGCCAAGTTCTTTCCACTGCATGTCACCCTGCCTCTACCAGAAGAAAGCCTGCCAGGTCCCTGCGGGTGTAAGCTCTTGAACCTGGAGACAGGAATTAAGAAATGCTGGAGTCAACGGCCCTACCTCACTATAGACATTTCCTGGTCTTTGAAACAGAGGGCAGGTAAACTAACTGGACAGGGGAAAAGAACCGCCCCCCACCGCCAAGTCGGCTCCCCTTCCCCTTCATTATTTTACCCAGGAACTTAGGCCAAAAACCTAAGCATCATCCCTTGAATCTTACCTTTTCTTCATTTCTCATGTCCAATCCACCAGAAAGTCCTATTGGTTCTACTGGCAAAACTTATCCTAGATAAACTACTTCTATTTCTGCCTTTACCACCCTGGTCCAAGTTTCTCATCTGGACTTCTCGGCTACTCCATTTAGCCTGCCTGCTTCCACTCTTGCCTCTTTCAATCTATCACTGAAACAGGAGTTTAAAACATGAGGCACTTCCCACCCTGCTTAAAACTCTTCAATGGCTTCTCAGAACACAAAGAATAAGATCTACCCTCCGGGACTTCCCTGGTGGTGCAGTGGTTAAGAATCCACCTGCCAATGCAGGAGACGCGGGTTTGATCCCTGGTCCGGGAAGATCCCACATGCCGCAGAGCAACTAAGCCCGTGCGCCACAACTACTGAAGCCCGCGCACCTAGAGCCCGTGCTCTGCAACAAGAGAAGCCACTGCAATGAGAAGCCCGCGCACTGCAATGAAGAGCAGCCCCCACTCGCCACAACTAGAGAAAGCCAGTGCACAGCAACAAAGACCCAACGCAGCCAAAAATAAATAAATTAATTAATTAATTTTTTTAAAAAAATCTACCCTCCATGCCTCACATTATCTACTCTCTGACCAAATTTTCTATCGTTTTCCCTTTGCTCACTCTGCTCCAATCACACAGGCCCTCTGACCCTCAAACGTTCTTTCTCACTTTGTGTCCCATGTACTTGCTGTCTCCTTTGCTTAGAACACCCTTGCCCCAGATCTGCACCGGGTTAGCTCCTTGTCATTCAAGTCTCAGCTAACAGAGGTCTTCCCAGACCACCCAATCTAAAGTACCCACCCCCATGCTACCACATTACTGTTTTAATTTGTTCACAGCACTTATCACTAGCTGAAATTTAACTTGCATATTTACTCTCACCCCATAAAGGCAAGAAGTTTTATTTAATACTGTATCTTTAGTGCCCAAAACAGCACCTGGCACACAGAAGACATTTAATAAATACTTGAACGTTTGAATGAACAGGATTGAGGAAAGGGCTCACAGGAAACAGAACTCTTCTTTAGAGGCAAGGTGTTACACAAGTAGATGTGAATTCGTAACTCACGTTTTTGGTCCACCTTTTCACCCCATCATAACCCTTGGTACGGAGTTTATCATAGAAGAAACTGTTGAAGAAATGCACCTGCGCCAATGATACAAAAGAGCTGGATGGAATTTAAAGACCTCAGGCCCTCCTGCTAAGTGTCCTCTCCCCAGCCCACTCCATTTCATCATAGCTCTGAGGACTGGTTTCAACAAACTCTAGTCCAACTCACTGAGGGTAAAAGCAAACTATTTTTAACCTCATCTTATAGCTTCCCACCCCAATCTGTGGGGTTAGCCATAGGGGAAAAACACTACAGACTGGAGGAAAGGACTAGAATTGTTAAGTTCAGGACCAAGATTACAGATTTGAATTGAACAAATTACCTTCTACTGCCTCTCCCCAGAGAGAAAGACCCTCTTTATGTAAAATGGAAGAGATGAAAAGGACTGAAAAAGCTGCTTAAAACTGTGGGAGTTCTTCCAGGGACTGAAATATCTGGTTAGGCCTACCTTTTCAGGGACCGTGTCCATGACGAGATCTCCATACATGTTCATCACCTGGGGAGAAGATGGGAGGCCACTTGCCATGGAGGGTGTGGCATGGGTACAGGGCTCCCCCATGCAGAGGGCCCCAGACACCCTGCTCCCTGAATCCCCTCTTGGGCCTGTTTTTGCACGCCTCCTTACCTGGTCATTGAGCCAGTTCTGTCCATATAAGGTCCCCAGGTCGTCCATGGTCAGCACATGCCGCTTATAGGCAACTCGGAAGCCCCTCACCATGGCATTGCCTGGCATCCGCTGGTATGACTGGATCAGCTGCAGCACCAGGCCCTTCCTGGGTAGGCCAAGGGTGGAGTCACACAAGAGACGAGGGGGCTAGGGCACACAGAAGTACCTTCTACTGCCTAGAATAAGAATCTAAAACTAACTTTTTTTTTTTTCTTTTTTTCGGTCATGGGTCCTTTTGAGGACTTGCTAAAGGCTTACTCCCCAGTAAGAGGCACATGAATACTTAGGTACATGTGGTATATCAGGGTCCCATGTAAAGCCCCTCCTGGTTGGCTCACAGGGGCTTGGCACCTTGCCTGCAGATTCCTCCCCTCAGTTCTAGCTCCCTCCTCCTCCCCGAAAAGGCAGCAGCATTCTCACCCCATCTCCCCGGTCCCAGCCCTCTTCCAAAGAGCATCTCTTTCATGCCTCACCTGGAAGGTGTAGAGAACTCCTGCTGGAAAATGTCCTCCAGTTTCTCTACTACCTCATCAGTGCTGAGGGGGATGAGGCTGCCATAAGTTTGAAGGAATTCATCCAAGATGCCTGCGTGGAGGAGGGAGAGAGGAGTGAGGTAAGGCCTCCAGACTCTGATCTAGGAGTCAGCTGTGGGAAAGAGACTAGATCCTCTAGGGTTCCTTACTCTGCACACAGGTGACATGCTCCTCCCGCAGGGGGCTGTGCTGTCCAGCTTTCTCCCCAGGCCGCTCAGCCTCTTCTGCAGTGCCCAAATCTGAGCCCTGAAAAAGCTCCTGGGCCACATGGTCCCCGATGCTGCACACATTACTGATGAGGATGCTGGCATCAGGGGGTGCCAGAGTTCGCTCCCCTTCTGGCCCAGGTGGTCCCCCAAAGCCGTTGGGCAGAGTACAAGAGAGGAGGCCTGCAGGGCAGGGGAAACAGAATGGAGGCAAGAAACTGGCTCAGATCAAAGGCCAATGGGAAGATTAAATGATGCACACAAATTATAAGACCACAAAAAGAATGAATTGGAACAAAATCCACCAATATAAACTCTAAAGGATGAAAACCCTAAAGCACGAGATAATTATGTCCAAGAGGTTATAAAAGACAGAGAGGAAAAGTTACTACAGGCATACCTCAGAGATATTGCGGATTCACTTCCAGAACACTACAATAAGGCGAATAATGTAATAAAGCGAGTCACACAAACTTTTTGGTTTCCCGGTGCATGTAAAACTTATGCTTACTATAATCTATTAAGTGTGCAACAGCATTATGTCTAAAAAAAAAAAAAGTACATACCTTAATTTAAAAACACTTTGTTACACGTGAAAAGATGCTCAACATCACTATCAGAGAAATGAAAATCAAAATGACAATGAGGTATCACCTCACACCAGTCAGAATGTCCACCATCAAAAAGTCTACAAACAATAAATGCTGGAGATGGAGAAAAGGGAACCCTCCCACACTGCTGGTGGGAATGTAAATTGGTACAACCACTATGAAAAACAGTATGGAGGTTCCTTAACTAAAAACAGAACTACCATATGACCCAGCAATCCCACTCCTGGGCATATAACCAGAGAAAACCATAATCCAAAAAGATACATGCACCCCAATGTTCATGGCAGCACTATTTACAATAGCCAAGACATGGAAGCAACCTAAACGTCCATCAACAGAGGAATGGGTACAGAAAATGTGGTATATATACACAATGAAATATTACTCAGCCATAAAAAAGAATGAAATAATGCCATTTGCAGCAACATGGATGGACCTAAAGATTATCATACGAAGTGAAGTAGGTCAGACAGAGAAAGACAAGTATCAATATCACTCATATGTGGAAACTAATTTTAAAAAAAAGATAAAATGAACTTACGAAACAGAAACAGACTTACAGATATCAAAAACAAACTTTATGGTTACCAAAGGGGAAACGTTGTGGGGGGAGGGATAAATCAGCAGCTTGGGATGAACATACACACACTATTATACATAATATAGATAACCAACATGGATATACTATAGAGCACAGGGAACTCTACTCAATATTCTGTGATAACCTATATGAGAAAAGAATCTAAAACAAGAATGAATGTATGTATATGTATAACTGAATCACTTTGCTGTACCCCTGAAACTAATACAACATTGTAAATCAATTATATGCCAATAAAATAAAAATATTAAAAAAAATACTTTACTGCTAAAAAATGCTAACTATCATCTGAGCCTTCAGTGAGTTGTAATCTTTTCATGGGTGAAGGCTTTGAAATATTGCGAGAATCATCAAAACGTGATACAAGCATGAATTGAGCAAATACTGTTGGAAAAATGGCGCTGACAGACTTGCTCTACTCGGTGTTGCCGCAAACCTTCAATTTGTAAAAAATGCAATGTCTTTGCATTGCAATAAAGCGAAGCGCAATAAAATGAGGTATGCCTGTACTCATAAACAGGAGGAAAGTAAGAAACACTAGGAATTCAGAGAGATGTAAATTTCAGAAGTATTTCTCACCACTATATACCTAGCACCTAGCATAGTACCTGGCATACAGTAAAGGCTCGATAAATACTCAAATAATTAATAAAGAAATAGAAAGCCTGCCGCAACTCAGACCCGGCACAACCAAAATAAATAAACAAACGTTTTTTAAAACTAGATAAATAAATAAAAAGAAAGCCTGAAGTTGTTTAGTGGGGTTCTCCGAAAGAGAAATACTGAGTGAGAATGTCACACACAACTGTCCAGGTGATGTACTCCACTACTCTGAGAGATCCCATCCCACCACTATAAGAATGGCACCCTCTAGAAATGGACACGCAGGGGCACTTATCCTGAGAGGCCACATGAAGTGGGACTTCAAGCAGACATGACTGACTTTACTAAACCACGACTCCCTTTCTCATCTATGCACAGGACACCTACTTATGGATCCTGTATCCCGGCCTTGACTCTCTTCCCAGACTTAGTTCCTGCTCAAAATGGGGCTGAAGACATTTCACTGCTGTTCTGGACCCTCCCTCTCTCTGCCCTCCTACTTTCCTTAGACCCCAGTTCTCACCACAGCAAGAGGCTCCTGGTCTCCCAGGATCTTAGCTCTCCCCATGCCCTCCTCTGCCCCATTCCCACCTTACCCGAGTCAGGGTCCAGAGGAGACTTTGGAGTCCACCTTAATCCATCTTCCTCCATGGGGGGCCCAGAGGGCACTGGTGGAGACCCTCTCACCCCATCCTCAGCCATGAGAGCACCTAGCAGACCCAGCCGGGGGGGAGGTGGTCCCCGGGGCGAGTCAAAACGACAGCAGGGGGATGGCACATGTGGTGTCACACCCCCTTCCTGGGGTGAAAGATGGTTCTTGGGGTGTGCAAGGCTCCGCCGCCGGCCCCGGTGGCGCCCCCAAAGCTTCCAGTGGAATGTCAGCGAGGTGCTTTTTGAGTAGAGCAGCATCCGGAAGGCTCTCATAGCTCTGCGACGGCGCTGTGAACACGTTTTCCGATGAGCAGGGCGGGGAGGGCGAGGCCGCTGGGAGGCTCCCAGCTGACCCCATCTGGGGGGCAGCCTCCAAGCTGCCACTTCCTCTTCCTCATCTTCATCCTCGTCGTCCTCTTCTTCTTCCTCCTCTTCACTAGCTGAGGCATCAAAAGAGGGCCGAGGGACAGGAAGGCGTCTGGTTGGCACTGTGGTCCCTGACCCAGGATCTGGCCCAAACCCTCCACCTGATTTGAGTCGGGGTTTGGGGGGTGGGGGCCAACGAAGACGCTCCCGCCTGGGACTTGAATAAGCTGGGGCTATGCCGGGTCCAGGAGGCTCAGGCCCCCAAGACCCGGTCCCTTGTATAGTCTCTTTCATCTTCCAGCAACCTGTAAAACAAAGGTTAGAGCGTCAGAATCCAAACATCCTACACCCCGGATTCTGCCTCTCTTCCTCAGCACGCCTCTTCTCCAATCAAATGCAAATAAACTAAGGAAAAGAGAAAAAACTTCAAAACTCCTAACTTCATATCTTCCTAGTTAATATGGCCCACAAGGTGCCCTTCAGAGTCTGTGCCATCATCTCTCTCCTGCCCAGATAGAGGCAAGGAAGAATGGCTAAGCGGCAGGCCTCGAGGCTCTTATTTCTCAGATACCCAGATCAAACCTAGTATTTTCAGGCTCCACTTCTCTATTTTAGTACCACCAGGGATGTCCTAGTTGAGAGCCTAATAACGGAGAAGGCTCAATACGGGAATCCTGACATGGTACAGAGACACCTGAGGAGAACACAATTTCCGCAGGAAAACCGTGATCTAGAGTGGGAAGAGAGGTCTCCATCACCGTGGAATGAGTGGGGTGTGTGGGCATGCTCAGGTAGTCTCAGGAAGGAACCATACCAGGGCTATGGTTCACGTGGTAAAATCTAATGGAAAGGGAATGATTTTAGAGGAAACTGAAACAGAACCGAAGCGGCGCTTCGGCAGCCGAATCAAGGCGCGCTGGGACTGAACTGAGCCGAGCTAGGTTGGCCCAGCCCCCTCTCCTGCTCCGTCCCGGGGACCAGAATGCGTCCCAGCACCGGTAGGATCCTACAGGTTCGGGCGGCTCGGCGTGCAAGGGCCTTAAAAAGCCCCTTCGAGGGCCTCCTGGGCCCCGGTTAGGTAGGAATGGGGTCCAGGAATGGGAGAGGCCGTGGCAGAGCTGGGGGGAGGGGAGGGGGCGTCCTCACCGGGAGCGGGGAAGCCGGGCGGACAGGCCCGAGGGCGGGCGTCTCCGGCCTCAGGCTTCCCGGCTCATCTCCGGCGACGGCGGCTGCCCCGCCACTCCTGCTGTCTTCAGGCGTAGCCGTCTCAATTCAGGATTCCAACGTTTCTGGGCCGCGCGCCGCCCCGCCGAGCCGCCCCGCCGCGGCCGCCTCTCGCTCTGCTTCAGCCTCCACCTCCACCACCTCCACCACCTCCCCCTCCTCCTCCTCCTCCTCCTTCCCCTCCCGCGAGCCCCAGGCCCACCGGCGGTGGTGGCGCACAATTAGTACGTCACAGCCGGCGAACAGCGCCGCCGCGGCTACCACGCGCCTAGTCCCGCCTGCGCGAGAGCGCAGACGCCACGGGACCGTCCCGCCCATGATCCCCACGCCTGCGCACACCCGCTTAACCCGAGCCGTGCCGGGCGGTGCCTCCACTAGCTCTTTTGCGCCTGCGTGTTCTGTGCCGCTCTCCCGCCCTTCGTCCCCGCGCTGCGTAGCCCTGCGTTCCACGCGCCGCCGGGCTTGAGCTGAGGACCCTGACGCCTCGGTTCAGTGAGACGTCTCGGTCCAGTGAGGCGCTTCGGTGGAGGGCGTGGAGGGCCGGGAGGGCCGGGAGATGCTGGTACGGGGACGGAGCTGAGGCACAGCAGCAGGGGAAAAGGATCCGAGGTTCCATTTATTCTCTTTTATTTTTTAACTTTAGGCAGGGCTTGCGCAGAAAGGAGAGATCAGAGGAGTGATACAGGATCAGGACTAGGGCGTACGATTTATCCGAGGCTCCCCGGCTTCCCTCCCAGTCCAGAGAGGCTTAGAGTGGCCTGCCGCGCCAGGGCAGTGGAGAGCGTGAAAGGCAAAAGTTGGCACCCGAAGAGTAATGATGTGGCTGCAAGGGCACCGTCGTCGTTGGGCACCGTCTGCAGACGGGCGCATAATAATTACACCTCTGGAGGCAGTGATGGAAACTGGGCCCCAATAGATGGAGAGAGGAGAGTGAAGATGAGGCTTCTTGTGCAGTGGAGAGGCAGAGGATACCTAGAGAGAGGTGTGGTGTAAAGAACCAGGAGTTTTCCTGAGTGGCGGAAGGATTCGTGGCCATCTGCCAACAGGCAGGATCATTGTCTCAGATTGCCGCTAGATGGTGGTGCTGTTCTGGAAGCATTCCAGTGGGACCCAGAGCAAGTCTAGACAATGCCGGGCATTTCCCACCCCCGCCCAACTCCCTCAAGAATTTGGGGCTGGATGGAGACTAAGAGCAAGATACTCTACTACCTCTTTAATATCCATGAATTCAGAGTCCTGGGGGTGGGGTGGGGGGGAGAAGGGAGGAAGGGAGAGTCATGAGCTGTCAAACCTGGGATTCCAGTCAAACCCAGAAGAGGCCTCTGTTCCTGACTGTTCCCTGTCCTTTGTCTAGTCAGCTCTTGGCTGTCTCCAAAATGAACCCACCCTGGTCTTCCAAGCTCAGAACCACCTTTTACAACACAATCACAGTTTCACAAGCCCCAGGAAGGTTCCATGTGGAGAGAGGCTAAGTTTCGCCCTTGCCCGGGGGATTATGACACTCAGGGTATCCCCCTGGTGTAAATGGAAGACACCTGAGAAAAGGGAGAAAAGAGATGCTCAGTGAAGCACGGCCATAAAGATACTCTGATGTTTCACCCTCCCTTCTCCAGCTCAACCTTGTTTCTGCCTCCTGTAAGGACCAAGGTATTCTGTCCTTCACTCCTCAGCTCTGCCTCTACACCCACGCTTCTTCCAGACCCCTGCTGTAGCCCCCACACCAGTGCCCCCAGGTCAGAGATCCCCTGCTCTCCTCGCATCCACCCTCAACTGCTCACCCACCTCTCAGGCTCTCACCTGCGCTGTAACAGCTATTGTAGGCCCAGTCGGGGTTGGAGGGCATGCTTCGTATACATCGGAATAGAGTCTCCTGCCTTCCCTGGCCCTCCCGGGATACCACCTGACCCATGGTGAAAGTCACATCGTGAAACAAGACCTGGCAGGGAAGGGAGGAGATGAAGAAAACGGGATAGTGTGGCTCAGGTCTGGGCGGCCTCAGGAGCCCTGACAAGGGAGCCGAGGAATGGAGAAGTGCCCTCTAAGCTGGGTATCCATAGGGGTTGGGAACCCTCAGTGCTGGGGCATAAGGCTTTGGGAGAACAGGCCTCCAGGCCCTCAGGTGAGGCTCAGGGGGTGTCTGGGGTTACCTGGCTGTACAGCAGATAAATTCCAGCATCCCAGACTCGAATGACATATCCTTGGGCCTCCAGGCCTCTCCCACGCCAGAGAGCTGGTTGCCACATCACCTCTGTCACATCAGAGTCCTCTGGAGGCAAGGAGTGTGGCAGTCAGGGTTTCTGTGCACACTCAGACACTTTCTGCTCTAAGGTTCTCTTGGGCCCAGGTGCCAGCCCCACAGTTCCTAGATTTTGCCTCTCCTCAAAAGCCATTATTGAAAATAGTGCTCACCCTTGGAGGTGATGTTAACGGGAACAAGATGCAGGACTGAGCGCTTCTCTGGGGAGAGAAGAAGGAAATCTTAGCAGCGCCCACCTACCCCCGTTGCCCTGTTGTCAGCCCTCCACCCTCAGCCCTGGCTCAGGGTCTCAGTCTCCAAATCCCCGTGCTGCTTGATCACCTCCCACCCCTGCTGCACCCCGGGGGTCTCACTCTTCTGTTTTACTGCTCTCCTTCTCCGGGATCTCTCCCCATTCTCCCGGGCTTCCACGCCATCAGAGCTCTGCTCATGGAAAGAGGGTCAGGGTTAGGCTGAGATGCAAGGGTCCCAGAAAGCCTTTCCCCCAGGCCTCCCCCGCCCCGGGAATGCCTCACATCTCTCCTGCACCTTTCCCCAGCAACCTGAGTCTTGGTGCTGGCTGTCCTCCAGGATCTGTTAGGTACGAGAAGCATTAATCTTTAACAATTTCCTTTCCTGGAATGGTTGCTCCCTTGACCTCCAAACCTGGGACCCTCTCTTGCACCCACTGAAAACTTTGCAGACCAGGCGGCTGGAACCAAGAGGCCTGGAGACCACCCTGCCACCCATCCTCCTCTCCCGGACACCCTTCTCCCCTCACTCACCTGCTCCCGGGGGCTCAGCCACAGATACCCTTCCCCCTTCTCGGAGGGCCCTCCAGTCCTCTGCAGCCGGCTCACCTCTCTCCTTAAGGTCTGCAGCTCTGTTTGTTGGGTCAGCAGAACCATGGCACAAGCCACAGCCCCCAGAGCCGCCCCCCAACTCAACCAGAGGGCAACTGAGAGTGCCGGCTCTCGGACTGGGCCCCCCATGTCTCCCGGGGACCCTTTGGGGGCTAGTAAAGAAGGAGATGAGGTCGGCATGAGCTGGGGACCCTGCCAACAGCTGTAGCCTCAGGAGTGGGGTAGCAAGGAGGTGACGGGGAGGGTCGGCGTGCAGGCAGTGGTGCAGAAGGGAAGAAGGGCGTTACGCAAGGGAGAAATAAAAAGGAACTTGAGAATAAAAAGGAGGGAGGCAGAAAGCAAGCTGGGGCACTGTTGGTGCTCCTGGCACCCCGCTGCGGGGCCAGTGTTGTCCTGAGACCCCTCACCCTCCTCCAGCCTCAGGAGAATTTGGTGTCAGTCTCTCTAAGAAGGACAGGGCTGCCAGTGACACCCAGGAGGAGCGGCCAGAGCGCAGGAACCCCAGGGCGGCCCCAGAAGTGGGGGAGGGAAGGTTGGCTGGCTATGGGGCATGGTGCCAGGAGCCGGGATGGAGGGACGAGCTGGGCAGCATTGAGGGTCAAGGGGTGAGAGTGGAAGACCCTCTGGCCCGGGCACAGGCGAGATCTCTGGGGCAGTTTGCTGAGAGAGACCAAAGGTGGGAAAGAAGGGGAGGGCGTCAGTGGGGAGGAGAACCAGGGTCGCGGAAGCAAGAAACTGGCTGAGTTCTGGGGTTAAGGCCAGGCCGGGTGTGTTGGAATAAGGCCTGCACTACTCCCTGTGTGCTGAACTTGGCAGGCAGGACTTCCTGTTTCCCAAGAAAAGCTCTTACATAAGGCTCTGGACAAAGAAAGAGACAGCCCAAGCACCCTGCCACTGTAGGATTCCTCCCTGGCCCCGAGGACGCGGGTGTCCGTGTTCCCGGGCCCTGGTGTCCCGCTTCCTGCCCCTGAGCCCCCATGCTGGGCCTGCTCCCACCCCGCGTCCCAGCCAGGGCTTGGGCCAGCACCTGCTGAAGTCTCCGAGGCTGCCAGGAGGAAGGGCTGCTGTTCCTCCCAGCCCAGGGATTCCCCGCAGGAGGAAGCCCGCCTCCTATAGGTAAATGAGGCTGCTTCTGCTGGACCTTGGGCAGAGGATTGATTTTTTTTCCTGGCAGTTTGCCTTTCGACTCTCTGCTCATGCTTGGGGGTTAGAGGCATGTAGGTCCCCACTCCCAAGCCTGGACATCGCCCTGGAATTCCGGGCGTCCTGCCCCCCCCTCCCCAATTCCCATACCCCCTTTGCATGGCCCTCAGCTTACCCCGAGGATGTCCCCTAAGGCCCAATAAAGAGAGCAACCATGACTTATTCTCTTTAATATCCACTTATCAACATTTTGTCACAATAATAATAAAAATAATATCTGTTTTAAAAATCCACAGGGAATTATCAGGGGAGGAATTATCATGTCTTGGTCTCTTACCCCTCACATTCGGGAACTCCTGGCCTAGTCCCAGTCTCTCTGGCATCCAGCCCCTCTTAGAGCCTGAAGAGGGGTATTCAGGACCCATCGTCACCCAGAGTACAGTAAACACAGTGTCCTGGGGGGCTGCGGCCAGGCTGGGGAGTCAGGAGATAAATGGGGGTTTGGGAGCTAGTGAGGTGGAGAGCTGGAGGTGCGGGGAGCCGTCAGAGATGAGGGGACTATTTCTGTGGCATGGACGTCTCTTGAGCGTGCCCTGGCAGCCTACAGAGGGAGAGGCAGGTCTGGGGGAGGAGCCGCTCAGGGTGGGCAGAGGGGACTGGGGTGCTCAGAGAGCTGCCGTGGGGAGCCAGCGGCCTTGGCAAACCATCGGGAGACCAGGGCCCCCTCAGTGAACTTGGAAGAGTCCAAAGTAGGTGAGGAAGGGGGCAGCCTTGAGATGGGCCCAGGGGAGGGTGCGGATCCGCAGGGAGGACCCTGGCCGCAGGGGCAACAGCCCGGACACCTGGCAGAGACGGAGCTGGGGCCCGAGGGAACTGGCCGCTGTGGCCGAGAACTCCTCCAGGCAGCGCAGGGCCAGCGTGTCATCCACCAGCAGGTCCAGCTTCAGGTAGACAGCCTTCCCCTCATCAAAGTGCACCTGGGGGGTGGGGGAGGGGGGCGTGGGGCGGAGTCCAGGCCTCTGCTTGCCCTGGGCTCCTGTCCAGCCCAGACCCCAAGCTCCTCCTCCCCCACCTTTAACTTGCCCCCACCCCTTAAGCCCAGCCCTTCTCCCTCAGTTCCTGCTCTACCCGTGGAGCCAGGTGGGGCTTACCTGACAGTACAGGTAGTACAGCCCAGCCCGGGTGACCATAAATTGCCCGCTCTGGCGGTCATAGCGCAGTGGGTTGGAGCTGTTGATTTTGGCCTCTTCCCAGCCACTCACCGTCCCGTCCACACCTGAATGTGGATGTTCAGAGACAGGGGGAAATCCCTTTATAGAACTTTCTCACACTTCCCAGCCACTGAGTTTATAAACATTTGGGCCTACCTTACCCAGAAGATAACTAGAGGGCCCAGGGCAAGGGAGGCGCCAGGGCCTAGGGAGCTGGGAGTGTAATAGGAAGTTCGGCGAAGAAACCCAACATATGTGACCAGAACCAAACAGGGCAAGTTGTCACCAGCCACTTCTGGGGAGAAGAGGAGGACTGAAGAAGCAATGGGGGCTTTTATAGTTTGTGTCTGTATTGTTTGCTTTTCTACTTGGAGAATGTATCGATGCGTTACTTGAATCATACATTACTTGGATTATTAAAATTAAAAATAAGAGAAAAGGAAAATATGGAAAAAAAGCTAAAAAGAGGGGAAAAAAGAAAAAAAAATTAAAAATAATAAAATGGTACCCAAATGTCCATCCATTGATGAATGGATAAGGAAAATTGTGTTAAGTCCATACAATGAGATATGATTCAGCCATAAAATGAAATGCAATAATGGGACTTCCCTGGCGGTCCAGTGGTTAAGACTCTGCACTTCCACTTCAGGGGTTGCGGGTTCGATCCTTGGCTGGGGAACTAAGATCCCACAAGCCACGTGCTGGGGCCAAGGGGGAAAAAAAAAGAAATGGAATACTAATACACACTACAATATGGAGGAAACTGGAAAACATTATGCTAAGTGAAAGAAGCCACTCACAAAGGATCACGTATTATATGATTTCTATGAAATGTCCAAGTAAGCAAATATATAGAGACAGAAAGTAGATTAGTGGTTGCTTAGGGCTCGGGGGATCACGGAAATATGGGGTGGCAGGTAAAGGGTACAGGGTTTCTTTTTGAGGTAATGAAAACTCTCTAAAATTACCGTAGTGATGATCTCACAGCTCTGTGAATATACTAAAAACTTAATCGTACACTTTAAACAGGGGAATTATATAGAATGTGAATTATATCTCAATAAAGCTGTTACCAAAAAAAAAAAAAAAAGTCTAGAGTGAGGGTAATTGCAAATTGTAAAGAAGATAAATAGTCAAATGACAGAGCAGGGTCTCAAGTGGCTTCCCAGGTCCTCTATGGGCTGCCCCTGTTTACCTCTCGCATCTAATCTCACACATTCCTCCCAAGTCACAAGACTCTAGCCACTCCGGCCCACTTTCTGTTCCTGCAGCGCACCAAGCTCATTGTTCCCACAGGGCTTTTACTGCTCTTCCCTCCCCACAGGATTCCTCCCCTGCCTGGCCCCTTCTGTCAGACTGGTCCCTCTGAGAGACCTCCCCAGTCCTCCCAGCCTGAAATAGCTCGTCTCCGATGATAATCTCTCCTCCACTCACCCCGTTTCTCTCACAGCAGTCACCAAGGAGGGAAATCATTTTATTTCCTCCTGTGATAGTTTGGGGTCTGACTCCCCCAGAGGGCAGAGGTACTGGTCTTGTTACTGCACCCCAGCCCCTGGAGCTGGGCCTGCCCTGAGTGGGCACCAAGCACACGCTGGTGGGAAGATAGAGGGAAGGAGGCGGCCATGGCAACAGCTCTCTCTTGTTTGGGTCCATGGGCCACTCTCCAGGGCTTCATTGGCTTCATCTCAGTAGCCTGGCCAGCTTCCTTCCCCAGCAGCCCTACCCTCTGCCTGCCCCGGTGCGCTGTCCTTGTTGCTTTCTCAAGGAGAACATAATGCTCGCTAGGCATTTTCATCCCCACCTAGGGGTTCCCTTGGCCTTTATTTTGCAGACTCCAACCTGAGTCTCCAGCCCTGCCCTTTCCTGCCCCTCCTGACACTGCTACCTGCCTGCCATCAGAATAGCCCCTGGCACCTCAAACTCACCTAGACCAAAACTGAGCCTGGTCCTCCCCCGTCCCAAACTTGCTTGACTGTCTGCATTCCACATTGGGTTCCTGGTTCTACCTCTTACCAAGTACCCAAGCCACTCTCTCCTTTACCAGTTTAATTCACTGATCACCAGTTTCTAGCAATTCTGCCACCTAAATAGCTCTGTCTCCCTCCCTGGTCTGGCCCCTGCCACTTCTCACTGGGACTCTTCCCAGCCTGCTCCCTCTTTGGACTCCCTGTTTCCAGTCTTGCCTGGTCCAGTTCACTGGCTACGCGACACAGAGCCACAGAGTGACGTTTCTAAAATGCAGATGTGAGCCTGCCTCTCTTGTTTTGACCTCAGGATAACTTCCAGATTCCATCTGTGACCTGGCTGCATATTCTTCTCTGGCCTCACCCCATGTTGCTCTTCTAGTTCTGTCCCCTCAGCCACATCGAGCTGCTCCGGTCCCCCAGCCTCATCATACTCTTGGCAGGCTCGGGGCTTTTGCACAAGTGGCCCCTGCCCCCCTGTCCATCTCACACTCACACTTCAAGGCCCACACCTTCCTGGGGAAGCAGTCCCTTACCCCATTGTAAAGTGGTCTCCTCTGTGCCGCCATGCGCCTCTGGCTACTTTCTTTATTGTTCTTGTTGTATCACATTGTAATTTACAAATTTATATAGGTGTCTCTTCCCCTGGACAGCAATTCCTTGTAAAGAGGTCTGGGTATTACTCACTGTGGGCACCTAGCCGGGTCTTTACAAACAGTGGGATCTCAGGGCGTGTGTGTTGAGTCAACGAATGAATGAATGTCTGGGTAACCGCTGAAATAAATGGTCCATACAGAAGGGAGGAAGGTCGGCCTGGGGCAGGAAGAGTAGGGGGGGAGGA